GGAGACGAGCCCTTGGAGGGCAGGGGCTGCCGGGGCCTGTGGAGCATCTGTGTGGGGCCGGGCGGTGGGGCCTGTGCCCCGGGGCGGGGTGGGGCCTTGCGGGGACGGGGCTGCTCTGCCCCCGGGGCGGCGTGCCCGAGCTCTCAGGCACGCACAGTAAGTGCTCGAAAAATCTACAAACGTGGCCAGCCCCGACCTTGTGGTTCCCCAGCTCCACCCGCGGCCTGGTCGGGGTCTCCCACCCCTCACAGGCCGTGGGTGCTCAGGGCTACCAGCCCTGTGGGGCCATGGAACCGCCGGCTGCTGAGGGAAGCAGGACCGCTCGCCTTTTGGTTCCCTCTTCTCCCCCTATAATGTCAGAATAAGCATATTTGTGTTGCGGGGTGGGGGGGAGGGAAGGTTAGTTCATTAATTCACCTTGAAAATGAAGCTGCTTTGGGTGCTAAGTGTTCTCTTCCTTAGCCTGGTCACCCGTGGCTTTATAATTTCCTCTGGATCTCCTTTTGTTTAAATGATACAGCTACAAGTGCATCGGGAATAGCGTTAAGCCAAGCGTTGTGTAAAAATAGTAGAGTCCCTGAGAGGTTGGCGGCGTGATTTTGGTTTGAGGAGCATTTGCTGGGTACAGCTCTGTCTGAACCAAAAGTAGTGAGTGGTAAGGGATAAAAATCATGTTGTGAGTGCTTCTCGCTCTTTCTTACGTGTCTGCATTTAAAGCTAGACTCAAATCTGCTCATAAACAAATTGTTCCTTCGTTTGCCTGCGAGTTTACCACATTTTTTCCTCTTGTTTCTTGGGTCTAAAACCCCCCTTCAGCTCGCAACCCTTCCCCCCACCCCATTTATAGCAGTGCTCCAGCAGGCCACATCTTGGCAGTTGGGATTTATTATCCATTCTCATTGACTGAGCTGCAGGTTTTTAAGATGTTTCGGCTCTGGGTGACCACACCGCTCTTCCTTTTGAAATCACCAGGGCAGAAAGAGCAGGAATAAGCGTGAGCCTGCTGCTGCTGGAGGGAGCTCTGGGTAGGCAGCCAGGCTGGGAAGCAGAGCCCAAAGCTGTGCTGGAGTCTGCTGTGCAGCTCTGGGCTGGTGGCTGAGATAGAGTCTGACATTCTTGTGCTGGACAATGCAGGGGCAGGGAGTGCTTGAACAAAAATGGAGTGTTGCAGGCATCATTTTGGCTTGCAGGTTTTTCTGAGTCCCCTGAGATACACGTGCAAGATGCTCAAGAGGGATTTCTCAGTCCTTCTCTAAATAACGCTCAGCTGATGAGCACATGCCGCTCTTCATCGTGCTGTTTTTGATGCAGGGCTTGTGTTTTGCAGACAATGAGTGGAAATGAGGATGACTGGCTGGCTCTCAAACCCCAGGAACCTTCTCCATCCCAGTGCTGCGGCAGCGGCTGCAAACCCTGCATCTATGATGTCTACGAGAAGGAGCTTGCACAATGGGAACGGGCCAAAGCAAAGCAAGACAAAAGCCTCCTCATGGAAAAGAAGGAGCAGGTCAATTTATCTTCATCACATCCTAGAGCCAGTGCTTTGATGGTACTTGTTAGCGTGTGGGGCTGTGGTGATGGGCGAGGGATGCGGCGATAGATTAAAGCGGTGCCTTAAGAGAAGGCTGTAAACGCAATTCCCCAAACTCTGCCTTCCCCAGCCGCCCTCCCCCTTTTGCCTGCTCTCTCTCTCCCTGCTGTAATGTGATTTTCCAAGTGTCGGGTTCGCCCTGGTGTCGCCTTACAGCCCTGGGTCTGCAGCTTCTCCTGGCTGGGGGACCCCAGCCAGCCAGAGCCCGCCCCTCCGCAAAGCGGGAGGGGGCGAAAGGTACAAAGAACCACGATTTTCTCCACCTTTTTTCATCTTTTTCCTGGTGTTTTTAGACTCGTGTTTTGAGGCTGAAAAAAAAGCTGCATCGTGCGTGGTGGAGCAGCCGTCTTCAGAGTGTAATTTTAAGCTTGTCAGTGCCCCTTTACGTAAGATTGACTGTGCTGTGTCAAGCAAAAACGATCAGCGTTGAAACAATACTTCCTCGTCGCAGTGGTCATCAGTAGGTTTCAAAGTTGCCCCCAAAGCAGCACTCGGCTCTTTTGGCAGTATTATTTCTGTTTGTTTCCAGACAGGAGAAAATGATTGCAGTGAGTCATACCGGGATGACCTTGCTGGAAGGTGTAAAAATGTAATTTAAAAAGGGGAGGGGGGGGAAATGTAAGATCCCAAAGTGCATGCTGCAGAACATGATAATGAATCAGCAGAGAGCTGGAATTTGCGCTGGGCCCCACATTTAATACACAGTCTTCTGGAGTCCTGAGTATCTCCGGCACTAAATTAGCACACACGTTTGCTTCCAAAGAAAAATGAAATAATAAAAGACACCATCTAACCAAGTAATTATTTATTGTTGTTCTTGCAGAGCAATAATTCAGAGCTGAATCCAGATACATTTACTGCATTCAACATTAGCTCGGTGGAGCAGCTAACAGAGGACACCTACCAGTACAAATTTGAATTACCGGGAAATAGCAGTCTGCAATTGAGTTTAGGACAACATATCGTGTTAAGGTATTGTTCTCTGTGCTAGTTAAACAGTCTGCATTATGTAACCTAATATGTAGGGTTTTTGTCAATAGACAAAGGCTTCATACCAGGCAAATCATAATTTCTATACCTCTACAATGACACAGATGAAAGAACTTGTGAGCTCGCTAGCTCTACTAATTTTATGGTAAAAGCCCTTCCAAAGCTGTATTTTTCTTCAGCATTATCCTTGCGTCGGTGGGTCAGAAAGAACTAGGTGTGATTAAGAAAATCCATTTGCAGAAAGAAAGACTCAAAGAATAGTTGTTACAACAGATGATTTTACTCCAGCATGTTGGAATGAAGACAATGAGCAGCGCTTACCCCAGAGCTCGGTATTTTAGGCCCTGTATTTTGGGGTAACTCAGCACCCCGGGGTGTTACCCAGGGCGTCCAGGTATTTCCTGACTGATTCCTAACAAAGCAACCCTCCTGTGTAGTTTATTGCTTGCCAGAAAGGGGCCACTTGGGAGAAGTTTATGCCTCTCTCAGCCATCTGGGGTGATCATTGCCAGATAGAAAAAACCTCATGTTACGATGCCATTGATCTGTATCTGTTGACGTTATTTGTACGTTAACAGCTGATGTATACAGCTGGCTGGCTGCTGAAAGTGCATGCTTCTCCCTTCAGCCAGCTCTCCTAATGCAGCAGAGGAAAAGCTTGGGTCACTTCAATCAATTATGGTAGTCGGTGGTACTGAGCAGGGTGGATATATTCTATGGGAAGAGGAGACTAACAGGAAAACACGGTGTGTATCGCCAAGACCTCAGGTCAAGGCTGTGCCCCAGCTTTCATTATCTAATTACCAGATGCTGTCCAAACACAGAAAGGAACGTAGACCCCGGCCCAAAAGGGGTAGCAAACTTAACCGTGAAAGCATTTTCTCTCCCCTTTGCCATTCTTGCACATTCGGCCGTTTTCTCACAAAACAGCTCAAACATCCTTCCAGGGGTGTGTCCAAGAGCTGAATGTGTGGTACAGCTGGGGCCACCACCAGGAAAACAAAAGGTGCATTTAGCCATTATGTTCCCCCTGGATATTTTACCTCGGGAAGGGAAATGTTTTGCATCTGTGCCCAGGCCAGGCCACTGGGGAGAGGACCTGCTGCCTCCCTCATCTCCCCGGGGAACTGCAGAAGTTGGATAATGCTGGTCAATGACCCAAGTCACAGTGGGCTTCTGTATTTCTCTCTTCAGAGGAGTGGTGAATGGTTTGGAGGTCCAGCGAGCCTATACTCCGATTAGCCCAGGGAATGCAGAAGGGTACTTTGAAGTTTTAATGAAAGTAAGTAAGCCCCGACGATGTGGATTAGACTCTAAGGTGCTGGGGACTCTGTTTTCTTTAGGAACCGAGCTTGCCGTCAGCACTTCAAATGAGACTCTCTCAAATCCCTCATGGCCCGTTTCTGTGTTGTTTGGAAGCAGTTGCGCTCTGCTGATAAAAATTGCAGTTTTTCCCCACAAAACTGAAAGCAGAGGAAGGTGACACACAAACAAGTGCTTTGCGGCACAAGCCCTGTTACGCTCTTGGGAGAGCCTCTCGGGAGCCCCGCAGTCACCAGTGTGGAAAGAGCCCATTCTACTTCCCCAGTTTCATTTTGCCTTTTCAATCTGTCTTTGAAATCACACCCAGTCATCAGCCCAGTTGAACCACTGATTTTGGGAAGTCTTTGCCCAGCTGTTACCCCCCCACCCCCCGTACTTTGTGTTAAGAATACTCCTAAAAGCAATATTTTCATTTTGTTGAAAAATGTAGATGGACAATAGGCTGTCCTTTTTGGTTTGTGGGCAGGGCTCTGGAGCTGCCTGCAGCCCAAGAGGGTCCCTGTGGCCCACAGGGCAGAGAGGTGGCCCACGGGCACAGGCTACACCTACTGGGGTGGCAGAGCCCCATTTTGGATGAGTGTTCTGGCCCTTCTGGAGGCCACCACAAAATGCTGGTTGAGTTCAAAAGTATTTTCTAGGAGAACACGGCTGGAAATTTGTCAGAATAAAGTCTGCAGGGCCCTCATAAATGATGACTTTGTGTGGAGAATATTGAATTGAAGAAGATTTTTCTGATACTGCATTAGTATGTCACCAGTGATTCCTCAGGGCAGACGAATAGGTGTGAAATTCAGACTGCTGGGTGTCCCAGGGGGCTTGCAGGGAGTGACCACTTGTCCTCTGCCTGTCTTCCAGGATTTCACATTTTGGGGTTTATTATGCATTGTACGTTCTAATGCAAACCCTGTTCTTTAGAAAAGTGTACAGCTTCTATAGGACACCTGTGGGAGGGTCATTTCACCATTCTTGTGGCAATTGGTGTGTGGTAGGGGAGAGAAATGTTGCATTAATAGGATACGTTCTCAGGATGACTGTGAAATTTCATGTATACTTGGTTATTACTCACAGGTTTTGCATTTCAATAATAATAGTAATGATTGTAATGATACCTTTCCTTTATATAGAACCTTTCATCCCAAAGGGAGCTATAGTTATTCTCTGGCAGTGACAAAAGAGGTTGGTTACACCCAGTGTAAAGCAGCCATTTTTATAACTCACTCTGTAGGCTGTGGTATATTTCACACTATTCAGGCAATTTTGGAAAGTACTATATTATTATTATTACTATGCAATCCAAGCACTGTTCAAACCCTTCTGTCTCCTGTTATTACAGCATTGCATTTGTGATACTACAGTTAAGAGTGAAGGAGTTGCCATTTACAGAGCATAACCCTCTTTTTGAATGATTTTATAATGTTAGGGTTTCTCTCCATGTAAAACCGGGTGTAGAAGTTTTCCCCCAGGAGATAATTATTTTTTTCTTTTTATTTAGAAAAACTCATTTTAAACCCACTCAATCACTTCTCACTTCAATTTTTGGAAATAATTTTGGTGAAAGAAGGATTGTTTTAGTTTCCATTACCCTGGTCCATTGGGAATAGGCAGTAAGTGAGGCTGACTTTCCTGCTCTTGCCTTGGGTTTCCGTATATATTTGAAGAGAGTAGCTATAAAATACTGCTCCTTTGATGCAACTGCACACTCTTTGCATGAGACTTAGTACCTGCCCAGAGCCCTCTGAATGTAAAGTGTTTCTGACAGTAACTCAGAGCCTGGACGTGTGTGTGTGTGTGTTATGCGTTTACCTTTTGAATGTAACAGCTGGTGCTAATAGTTCTTAATACTTCAGGTATCTTGTTTAAATGAGGTTGTTAGGAGGGGAGGAGCATCTGTGTTCTTTATTAGCTACCACTGCTTGCAAGCACACGCTTGCTCACTCGCTTTTTCTTAGCTTCTTTGCGGTTCACCAGTTCTGTTTGTCTGCAGTGCAGCTTGGTGGCCAGCCAAGGCACTGGGGTGTGGAGCTGGGCTCCTGTCCAATGTGCGTGCAGAAAATACCCCCAAATATGCTTCTTTCACATGGGCTGGAGTCTTCCAAGGCTTATATCACATCTCATCTTTTGACCTCTGGTTGTGTTGCTCTTCCTGGGGTTTATCAGTGGCATCGCCTCTGTACAAGACCAGTTGTCTGCTGCTGCTGTTGGGCTTATCTGCTGTTTAGACCAGCCCTTGTTCTCCAGCCCAATCCTGTGGCCATTCACAGAGTCACAGAATGATACGGGGTTGGAAGGGACCTCTGGAGATCATCTAGTCCAACCCCCCTGCCAAAGCAGGTCCACCCAGAGCAGGTTGCACAGGAACATGTCCAGGTGGGTTTTGAATGTCTCCAGAGGAGGAGACTCCACCACCTTCCTGGGCAGCCTGTTCCAGGGCTCTGCCACCCTCACAGCAAAGAAGTTCCTCCTCATGTTTAGATGGAATTTCTTATGTTCAAGTTTGTGCCCATTTCCTCTTGTCCTGTCCCTGGCCACCACTGAAAAAAGACTGGCCCCTTCCACTTGACACCCGCCCTTTAAGTATTTATAGGCATTGATCAGATCCCCCCTCAGTTTTCTCTTCTCCAGGCTAAACAGACCCAAGTCCCTCAGCCTCTCCTTGAAAGAGAGATGCTCCAGGCCCCTCATCATCTTTGTGGTCCTAAATTCTTCTGTGCATGTTTGTTCTCATTAATCATAAAGTGGTCATACATATGGGACATACAGGTACATATATGTGTATCTCATGGCTACATGGCTGCTTGGATGAGCTCTTCATTTTCTAGCCTCTCCTTGCTCCTCTGTTCCTAGCAAGCACTGACCCTCATCAGTCAGGAGTGAATTTAGCATTCCTGCAGGCAAAAGCCTAGATAATATTGTTTGTGCCTGGTAGAAAGTAAAGCAGATTTGGCTAATGTTTTTCTTCCGTGAGGCCCAAATCAACATAATTTTTTTGAAAATGTGAAGCATCCAGATGATTTGTTCTGAAAACAAGAGCTTTATAAATGAGTAACCTGACTTTGGGTCACTAATTGTATCAACACAGCATCTGAGAGAATGGAATAAAGCAAGAGCTAAGCAGTGTTTATGTAACTATCAGTACCCAGAGGGCGTTTGCAGACCCCATACCCTGAGATTTGGAGAACACTCGAAGGCTTGGACTGTGCTTTGCATTCAAGACACTCTTCTCTGTGTGCTTTGTAAGCAAGAACTATGATAAGCTTTTTCCAGTTTTGGAAATTCAGACTGCATGAGAGTGGGTTGTGTTTACATTACAGTGAAGCTGGAATGGATCCAATATGATTTAATTTAAATGTCTTTGTTTTGGGTATAACTTTGAGTTATTTTTCAAATAGAATGATCTTTCTTTCTTTCTAAATGCATGAAATGTTTTTTTGTCCCCTTCTTGTTTAAATGTAGATAACTTTATAATTGACTTTAAGCTGGGAAACTTTCCAACGGAGTATAATTATTCTTTTCTTTTGTGCAATGTTTTTTATTAGTGCTATGAAGCTGGGCTAATGTCACAATACATAAAAACGTGGAAAAAAGGAGACATGGTCTTTTGGCGTGGGCCGTTTGGAGGGTTCCCATATCGACCTAATAAGGTTAGTTCCCTAAGAGATGTGGGATGTTTCAGCTTGTGGCAGCAAGCTTTGTTTAATGCTCCAAAGGGAAGACATCAATTTGATTACTGTTTTCATGATTATTTTAGGGACTTCCTGGATTACTGTACAGTACTGCAGCATTAGCAGTCAATTGGAGAAAGTACACCTTATTGAACTGCAGAATATTTAAGAAGGAAGAGGAGAGGGAGGTGGACGGGAGACTGGAAAATATTAGCAAGGCTCTGTCTTCTTCACTTGCATGAGAAGTTCCTGGTGTGTTTAACAGAAGGAACTTTATTTTGCAGCAGCAATGAGTGTGGATGGGTGCCTTGTTGGAACCACATTGCTGGTTTGTGACTGAGCGCGAGCGAAGGAGAGGTGTTGATCTTTTTCTCTCTTGGGTATTCCCTGAACTGTGGCAGCTCCAGTGAGGTGTCACATCACCCAGCCACTCTGCAAGTGTTGATCCCACCTGCTGATAGCAGGCTCTCTGCAAAGACAGGCAGATCCAGTGTCAGGGGAAGGCTTCTCACACATACTAATTCGATTACTTAATTCTGACCTTTCAAATGAGGAGCAAAATTGAAACACTGGTCATTAAGATACCAAAGCCTTGTTCCCCGCTCCCAACAACAAAAAAAATAAGGCTGTGAAATGCCAGTGGCCAAGCTCAGTGCAGACCAATAGAGTTCTGCTTCCTGAAATACTCTCCCTACTGTTTTTATTCTACTGTTCTCTTCTTAAAAGCTTCCAGGTAATCACTTGGGACAGAACATGGCAGTCATGCCTAAAAGTGGCTGCCTTCAGGGGCTGTCTGGGTGATCTGTGTACATGCAGTTTGCAAAGCACCTGAGCAATCATTATAACAACTTGCTGTAGAAGCACTGTTTATTATTTATTAATTATAACAAAGTCTCCTAGGAAAATTGTCTTTTATCTCTCCTTGCTGCCGGTAGAATAGGATTCAGATTCAGGCAAATCAGATCCACTCACAATAAACTGCCCGGACAAAACAGAACACAAGCAGCCTCCTGGCTTAATAGGACCTTAAATCTCACTTCTGGTGTTGGTTCACTGGCTGGCAACTGGGGGAAGTGCTGGGAACCTTCTGTCCTCCTACATCTCCTCCTCCTCCTTACTGCCTAACATCCCTATTGCGAGTGGAGTGACTGTCCCCCCCCCTTGCAGGTGAGAAGCACTATGAGCTACTGGTAGCTCTTTGAGAAAAGTGAGATAACACACCAGGAAGATACGTGGGTCAGGACAGAGAAGAAACAGAGAACATCCAGGATTGTAGTTTGCAGCATCCAGGATAAACAGAGGGAGCATTTCCAGTGGGAAGAAAACAGACAGTGGGTCAGCAAAGTGTACTGCAGAATTTAAACTGAAATAGAAAAATTTATCCTAACTTCAGCCTTGATTTAAACTTCTATTTGGGTAAAATCCAGTTTCGTTAGATTTGGTGTGTAAACCCTGGGACTGCTATCTGTAGCCCTTTGCAAAAAAATGCATTCTGAGATTTGAATTTACCAATTCATGACCTCCTGATATGTTCTCCCTCGAGGCACCCTTTACCAGTGTGGCAGCCAGGACAAATTGGCCATGAGCACATCTGTTTCCAGTCGCCACTGCTCATTCGAAGTTCTCTGTTTTGTTGTCAGTACGGAGAGCTCCTCATGCTGGCCTCTGGTACCGGCCTCGCACCGATGCTTCCCATCCTCCACTCCATAACAGATGACGAAGAGGATGAAACCTTCGTAACCCTCGTTGGCTGCTTCCGTACCTTTGACAAAATTTATTTGAAACCTCTTCTCCGGGATCTGGCCCGATACTGGAACGTCAGAATATTTTACGTCCTAAGCCAGGTAAATAACTGGATATGAGGCGTGTTCGTGTGAGGGTTCTGTCTGCTGCATCAGCCTCTGCCTCCACTGCTTTTCCATGAGCATTATCTTAATTCTTTCCCAGTCATCAGGGCTATTTTGTGATCCAGTAGCTGCTGTTCTTAAATCTGCTATATATTCTCACACTGCTGCCAGTCTGGAGAATTTCAGGGAAGCGACTGTCACTGCTTGTCCCTCTTTCCTTCCTTGGTAGCTGTTCTGCTGGGATGGACCCTCAGATTCATAGTCATTGTTGATTATTCCCCCCCGCTGCTTCAGATGGTTGTTGCTGCACCTAAATATTTGTGCAAAGAAAACTTGATTCTGGGAGACTCACAGCAAATAAACTATTTCTTCTTTCCTAGCACCACTTCCTTAATCTGTCCTTATCCTGCATTCCTTGCTCATGGTTAGAGCTTGCTTCTTCTAGTACATTAACACCAACTTCCCAGCAATTATTTTTCCCAGCTGACCCATTTTTAAACTTCTTTAAGTTCTTTCCCCCCTCAGTAAAATTATTTTTTTTCTGCCAAATCCATGGGATGAGGGCATACCTCTCAGTGGTCTTACATTTTGTGCAGTCTTTTTCATTTCCGTTTGGTCCCAAAGTTGCCTGTGTTCTGCATGGATTTGGTAGTTGAAAATAATTTCCCTCAGAAATGAGGATTCATTGCAGGGAGGATATAGAAAGAATTATTTATGCTAAGGGAATGAACCCCGTTGCATTTTTAGTTTCTCAGAGGAGTCTTTTCTTGTATCTCTCATAGTGGATCTGCCTCATACATTATGTTCTACATACGGCTTTGGGAAGCTGTGATTGGGTATAGGGAAAGGGACTTGTGACTTAGGCCCCCCCTCAGCTGCTCTGTAGGAGCATAACCACTGATTGTCTCTGGTGACAGGGTTTAAATACCCTTTTCAGGACAGTGCTGTCTCAAGACCGTGAGGAGGTCTTGAAATTCAATCAGTGAAGGGCGAGAAACCCCCCTGACCCCTGTCAACACTGTCTGCCCTGAGTGTACATCTCTGCCTTTCTTCTCTTCCCTTAGCAGGTTTGTGGTGGTCCCACACTGTCTTGTCCATCCTCCCTTTTAGGATTATCTATCTGTCTGTCTCAGTATTTCACTCTGCTGCCTGTCACCAGCACATCTGAGCACCTTCTGCTTCTAATCAATAGCAGGGGAGTCCCCACTGGATGTAACACCGGGGGATTTCCCATTTCTCATGGGATCAGAGCTGTGTTTGGAGCAGGGCTGGCTTCTTTCAGTTTTGGTCAAGGGAGATGGGACTGAAAGAGACTTGGGAATGGGAGAGGCAATAGAGAGGAATAGACTTGGGGTTTAGGGCTTGGGAATAGAAAAGGCGCTTTGGGAAGTGGTTCTCAAAGGAGATGGTTCTGCAGCATTTATTAGTGATAGATACACTCTGGTTTTGTTCACCTCTGGGTGAGTGGCGAGGTCCTGTGGCAGGGAAAGACTCAATCTGGGCTTTGGAAGAGGAAAGCAGCTCTCAGGAAGGGTCAGTTCTACCCAGATGGAGTCACAAGGGTGGAAAATGTCCTGTGCAGTACTCTGAGGGGGGGGGGGGGAAGTTTGGCTGTAAGCAATCAGTTGTGTTTTTTAACGTGGCACACTGCAAACCTTTTGCCTTTTCAGGAAACTTCGCTGGAAGAGCTTCCTCAGAGCTATCAGGAAAACACCTACCTGGGCCGTCTCGATGAAGACTTAGTGAAGACAATAATAAATTCCTGTCGAAGAAAGCCGTTTGTATTAATCTGTGGATCTTCTGCATTCAATGAAGATATGAGTAGATATTCAAAAACTGCGGGAATCGAAGAAAACTCCTGTTTTGTCTTTTAGCAGGATGTTCCTGACCTGAGGAACCTTAGACCAAGCCTTGGACATTGTTGTTTCTCTGCAGACATTACTCAAGATCGGTCATTTTGGTAGACTGAGTTCCTTGTGCATATATTTTCATAGGCATTTGGATCAGATGTTTGTCACCAGTATGATTCTCACTCTTGAGAGTGTTTTAAGGAACAGGTGCCATTCCAGAGTGGCTGCTATGTGACGTGCCACCCACACCTCAGGGAACAGCCTGGTAATTTTAATGGAAGTTTTCATGTGGTGCGATTTTAAGAGAGAGAGAGAGATCTTAAAAGCATTATTAAAAAGCCTCCAAGTACACAGCTGTGTTGTAACATGAAAACCAGTGATTTGCTTTGCAATCCCTGTTACTCTGGAGTGATACTGTGGCCTGTTAGGTGTCCAGAGGAGAGACTTCATCCCGAGGGAGAAGGCTGCCTGGCTTGAGGGAACAGCAGAGCCCCGGGCTGGCGCGCTCTGGAGTCCGTGGGGTTCATTTTGGTTGTGTCATTGTCTTGCTGGGGGGTGCCAGGCAAGTCACTTTGGCCTCTTTGTGCCTCAGTTGCCCCATTAATACACTAATACAGAGGAGGCAGCACCGATTTCCTCTGAAAAGTGCTTTTCCATCCATATGTAGGGAAAAAGCTATACGTAAGGATGCCCAGCAAGGACTTAGGTGGGCTGTCCTCCTGCCTGCGTTGCCTCCCCTGCCCCTTAACCCTTGAAATGCTGCCTGAGGACAGAAAAAGCATGTCCTAAAAAAAACACTGTGAGAAAGCATCCGGGTTGTAACTGCTCTCTGTCGGGGAGGGTGGTTGGTTGCTTTCTGTAACCTCTAAGTGTTGGATAATAGCCCTGGTTCTTTAAATTGAACCTCTTTTCAAATAAACAAGTGTTTTATTTTTGTCACAGGACTGTCACAGGTGCCTAAGGGGTGTCCCAGGTGTATAAGGGGCTTTGGTGGGGGTGCTCCCCTGCAGAGCAAGGGACAGAGCCAAGGGCCTGCCGTGGGGATGGCAGCCCCATGGCACCCAGCCCGGGCACCCCAGCCCCTTCCTTCTCTTTCAGACCAAGATGCTGCTGCCTTTCCTCTGAAATACTTTTGAGAGAGGAAGGAGAGTGTCCACTCTTTACTTTTTGAGACTGTGTTTCCCAACTACACCTGGAAACACAAGCTTTCTGCACACCTTTTTTGTGTTTTTTCCATTCATTCCTGGTTTATCCTGTGGGGGGGTTTCCCAGGCTGTGACCGATGATGTTGCGTTATCATTCCTGTCTCATTTTTTTACATAAATCAGATCATACACCTTACACAAAGGAAGTGGGGTTTGAGTTACTCAAAATAAGCAGCGTGCTCTGAAATGGTGGCTCTGATTCACGTGTTGGGAGGACGCGTGGGTTCCACTCACACCAGTGAGGTTTGTCTCTGGTTCCCACAGGCCTGGAATTAATCCAGTGTGGCTGCAGCTTTTATGTTAACTTCATCGGAGCAAGAGGTGATGACAAAGCCATCTTTGTCACCCAAAATTGGAAGAAAAAAGATTCAGATTAGATATCAGGAAGAAATTTTTTACTATGAGGGGGGTGAGACACTGGAACAGGTTGCCCAGGGAAGTTGTGGATGCCCCATCCCTGGAGGGGTTCAAGGCCAGGCTGGATGGGGCTTGGAGCAACCTGGTCTGGTGGGAGGTGTCCCTGCCCAGGGCAGGGGGTTGGAACTAGATGATCTTTAAGGTCCCTTCCAACCCAAACCATTCTATGATTCTATGAAAATAGGGTTCTGGCTTTGAAGGCAGGGAGATCCAGGGAAGTTGTCCATCGTGGGTCCAAGGCAAGGTCTCAGCTCCCATCCTAACTGTCCTTTGGCCACCATGGAGTGGAGGTTCTTCTGCTCGGCGTGGGGGTGATAAAATCAGGAGTTGCTTTTTCTGGTAGCTAGGAAGAGGGAGAAAATATTTACCTTGAGTATTGCCTACTCTGAAAACATTTCTTATATCCCTCTTGCTTTAAACGTTCTGCCTTTCTGAGATTTTGCTAAAAACCCACCCTTTTTTTTGCAAAGGCCCGAGGTAGAACTTCTCGCCGGCGTCGGGGGAGCGACGCCTTTCCGCGCGCGAAGCCGGGAGCTGTTCCTTTAAACGCAACCCCAATATGTCTGGGTATTTCAGCACATATGGGCCCCCGCCGCTAAACCTTTCCCAGCTGGTCCGGCCGTTCTGCCGCGAAGCCTCTCCTCTTTGTTCCCGGCGGAGAGGGAGGGTGGTGAGAGACGGAGCAAGCTGTGAGTGCTGCGGGTTGCAATCCTGCAGGGGCGGAGCGGGGGGAGGTGACAAAGGGGGTCTTTGCGAGACGTTCTCCGTGGGGGAGACGATGTCCTTGGAAGTATGAACTTGAGGGGGGCCTTTAAACCCCCCCTGGGCACTTTGTTCTCTATTTTTCTGCCCTTTTTCTCCCTTCCCCCTCTCGCCTTTTGTCATTTCTCAGGCTGGCTCTCCCACCGGTCCCCTCATCCCAACCCGGCCCCCGTGGGGACAGCCCCTTTCAGAAGCTTGCGTGGCATGGATGGAAAGGCTTTTGGGCAGGATTTTCCCTGCCAGGGGAAGAGGAGATGTTTCCTTCCCTTTGGAGGGAAGTGGTGGCGATGCTGTGGATCATTTGGGGATCTGTGGAGCTGGAGGTGTGTGGCAGTGCCGGTGGCCAGGGACTCGGACCCTGCCTCTCTACTGGGGTAGGGGTTTGCTGCCAGGATGCTCTGGGAAGCCCCCCACCCCTGCAGGGATGTGCCAGGCCAGGGGGCTTCCATTCTTCTTCCTCGTGTGCAGCCTAAATACCTTCTTAATTTCATCTCATTATTTCCTGCCTAAATAATTCCCGTTTCTCCTGGGGACCGCGTTTAAACCTTTGATCTTCTCTGAAGTCTCGCAGTCCTGATCACATCCTTTCTATTTGAATGAATCAAAATGCCTTTTTAACTTATGATTTATAAATTCGCCCACAGAGGAATAGAGGCAGCCCCTGACATGGCACACCTCGAAATCACCCACCGTGTCTTCTGGCCAGAGCCGGAGCACCCTGGGCTGATCCAGAAGAACTCTGGCCACTCCTCCACGCAGAAGGACCTGCCTGGCTCCTCTGCCCGCTCCCGGCTGGGGAATGGCCATCCCTGGGTCAGGGGAGGGTGAAAGTGCCAGCAGATGATGGATGCCGTCTCCCGGGAGCAGGGCTCAGCTGCTGCCCTCCACAGCCCCGGCCCCTCATCTCCTGGGGGTATCACGGACACGCAGCATGAAGCAGGACCGCAGGGCGTAGCTGGAGGGATGGAGAAGACCCGCCTTGTAGGTACCAGTGTCCTGGACACTCCGTGCTGGGATGTGCTTCGGTGCTGAGGCCAGCGGTGGAAGGGCTGGAGGACAGTGGATGTTGCTGGAGATGGATGCCATGAAGAAGAAGGTGTTGCTCCATCGTGCAGTGTTGGAGAAGCCCAGAACACGTTGTCCCCAAGCCCAGAGGATCGTGGCCAGGAGGGTTGAGTGCTTCCAGCAGAGCTGGAGCTGTGGTATGGAGATACCAGGATGCGGTGCCAGACCTCTCCTGCCCCTTTGCTGGGGGTACTGCCCACCCGTGTGTTGTACAAGGCACAGGGACAGACCTTGTCTCCAAACCCATTAGAGAAGTGGCTAATTAAGCTCTGCAGAGTCCCTGGGAGGTCAGTAGGAGATGTCCCAGCATCACAGCCATCTCCCAGAGCCTGTATCAGAGCAGGAGCTTTGTCCTGCTCCCCCAGGGCAAGGATGGCTGCCTTGTGTCTCCTCGTTCAAACATGCACTTACTCCTGGTGCTCATGGGGTGACACGGTGCCCAGCACCCCAGGACAGACACCCCGATGTCCCCCACTTCAGGACAAAGAGCTTCTGGCTGGGATAGCCCAATGCTCCCACCAGCCCTCAGCTTGGCTCCAGCGCGGCCGGGCAGCGGGGAGAGAGCCTGCACAAATATTATTGTTGTTATTATTACCCATAAATATATGCAGGCACTTAATGACCTTGGCATGGAGCATTTCCTGGGGATTAATGACCAGTTGGTGTTAATGGTCCTTAGCTGCACCTCGGGCCATCAGCTCCTCCCAGCCCATCATTAATCCACAGGAAATGTCTCAGGCATCGATCCTCATTGCTTAATTAATAAATGCAACTTGTCTCCCCGTCTGAGATTTACAGATATTCTCTGCTTCTTTCCCCGCTGCTTTGAAGGTGACATTTTTAGCCCAGGTCCCTCACGCCGGGGGGCCCTCGGGGGTTTTTATTTCCTGGCATTCATCTGGGTGTGGGTCATGGCAGCAGGAAAGTCCTTTCTCTTCTGGGCGGGAGGGAAGGAACTGAGACGGGCTGGGTTTGGGGTTTCTCCAGCTACGGTGGCACAGCACGAGGAGCACACCTTCCCCACCGAAAGCAACGGCTTGATGATCTCCAGCCGATTGCATCCAAGAGCCTGGGCGAGAGGGAGCGTGAGCCAGCGTGGAAGAACATGGTAATTCCCCAAGGCCTGAGCAGGTTCTGTAATAATCGATGGGGTTTGGTTTTTTTTTTTTGCCTGTGAGTCACAATTCATCTCTAATCTTCCTCGGGGGAGGTGGGATTTGCTCTCTTTAGTGCTCGCCGCTGCCGCTTTCCCAGACTGAGCGTCCCGCTGAGGCCGGGCACTCGCTGCAGGGATGCTTGACCCCACAGCCGGCGTGGAGACGCACCCGCTTTTAAATCCCCTTCCCCTTTAAATGCCCTTCTGGGCATTGGAATAGGCTGCCCAGGGAGGTGGTTGAGTCACCATCCCTGGCTGTGTTTAAGAACCGTTTAGATGTGTTGGGGGACATGGTGTAGGGGAGAACTTTAGAGTAGGGTGGATGGTTGGACTTGATGATCCCGAGGGTCTCTTCCAGCCAAGATGATTCTGTGATTCCCTGTTTCTCTGGCCTTTACCACCGCTTGGCTTTGTGCAGTGGGTGCCGCAGTATAAATCACCTTAATTCCTGAGGTGCTTTTTTTCCTCGGTAAGTCTGAAATTCCCATTTTGGTTCGCTGGCTTGCCTGGTGAACTAAATTATTTTCATAGCCCCTTAAGGGCATATTGTCAGCCCAGACTTACTGCCATTATACACCATATCTGAAACATTAATATCTCTTCTAAATATAGTGTATTGACAAGGTATCTGGTATAGTGTAAATCCTTGGGACATTTGATCCAGATCATTAAAACTGAGTGAAGGAAGGGAGGAATAGATCAAGTTACCTTGCCGCTCTTAATTCAAACAAGCGATGAATTATTCATTCTGCTATTAATTCTACAGCCCTCCCGCTTTTTATTTATTTCTCTCTTTATTTATTTTTTTTTTCCCCTCCCAGATAGACAGCTCCGAAAGGATGCTCGGGCGCCGGTGAGGGGAGATTTGTGCCCGAGGATGGGGTGCGCGGGGGTGGGCTGCCTGGCAGCGCTGGCCGTGCTGTGCGGGGCTCTCGGGGATGCTCCCAGCAGAGGTAAGAGCCCCATCCCAGCTCCCAGTGGGGACCCTGGGGTTGGAGGGGGCTGTTTGTGGGTGCTGCAGTGCTGTGGGGTGCGAGTGGGTCCCAGCTCTCAGCCCACGCAGGGAGAGGGGCTCGCTCAGACCAGGGGATGCCCGGCTCGGTCCGGGGAGAGGAGCTGGGGTCTGCAGTCATGGGACACTGCTCTGTGCTTGAGTTTCTGCTTATTTTCCTGCATATTTTGAGTAGGGGTTATCGTGTTGTTTTGTCCAGGTGGTGCCTTTGTTAACTTCTGGAGTTGCACATGCCTATATAAAAATATATATACACACACACGCATATATATGTATGTGTGATGTATGTATGTGTGTGTGTTGCTGTGCATGTAATAAACCC